CATAGCATTGGCTCCCCCGCCTCCCCAGCAGAACCCCTCGTCCATCAATGCGACCCAAGCCGTCCAGAAAAGGCGGGTGGAGACGAGCGCATGAAACATTGCCGTGAGCTGGAACCCAGTATCCCAAAACCTGAACCTCAGATGGTGTGAGGTTGAGGCAGGGTTCAGTTCGGGTTGCATTAGGGTTGCCCAGAACCAGTAATCGTCCACCGTAAGACCTAAATCCTTCTCTGAGAAGAAGTCCACCTTGAAAGTTAAATAAAGCCAATGAGTCCCAAGCATTGATTTCAATTTGACGGTGTACGGCTAGCTTTAGTGCAGTAGCTTTCACTGCTGTTTGGGGCGTTTGCGGTCGTGGGGGCGGTTCTGCGAAGACTCTCAGGATATGTCCCCCCTCCCCCCACAACCACGACCACGACAACGACGACGACCACAGCTCCGGCCGCTCGCCAGCAATTCGTTGTCTTCCCGCCTCGTATGTTCAAGCTGCGATCGTAACGTGTTGGGAAGGTTTAGGGTTTAGGGATGTCTGTGTGCGATGCCTCCTGATCTTCTAAAGATCAACAGACTTGAAGACTTCTTGGGCACATGGCCCCCGAAACCCTGCAGTAAACCCCAAACCTCCAACTCTTAGCCCTACCTGGGTATCCAAAAACCCACCGTTCTATGGGTTAGACCCTACAATAATTAGGGGGTCATAACCTACTATTTCGTAGGGTTTGGGGATCCAAGTAAACCCTAAACCCTAAACCCTAAACCGTAGACCCCCAAACCCTGAGACTTCTGAAGCTCATTCCAAAAGGCCGTTCTCGACATGCGCGAGTGGGAGCACTTTGAACTCGCGCCGGGCTTGGGTGACGAGGGGCTAAGGGGGGAGGGCAGGTCAGATGTCCTACCGATAGTCTCCATTGTAGTTCCTTTTTGGGGATACCTTCTAAAATCCTTAGTATATAATTTATACAATTGGTTAAACCAAAAAAGGAACGTTCGCATCAGAATCGGAGATGTTTCTTTGTATTGCTTTCCGCCCGAAAATCCTAAAGCCCTAAACCCTGACCCCCAAAAGTAGGTAAAATAATGGCCCAACACCTACAAAACGTATTTATTCTCCATCCTATCGGTGTCCCAGGTACTTCCTTCATGTTCAGATTCAGGCCCGTAGGGTTGAGGGTTTAATATAGGGGCCTTAACAACTAGAATAAGGTTTGAGGGGGTATACTATACTATTATTTTAGAAAGAAGGCCCCACAACCCTATTCTAATTATTAATGCCCCGACACTACTAATGCTAAGCCCTAAACCCTAAACCTTAAACCCTAAACCCCAAACCCTAAACCCTAAACCCCTAATTTAGGGTTCGGTCAGCCTCAGGCTTGCTATAGCCAGGCGGGATTCTGGCACTTTCGGTCGGGAGTGCGATCCAAGTAATAGAGAAGCCTAAATCATCACAAAATACTATTCCTTAGGGTTCCTGTACCCTAAGCCCTAAACCCTAAACCCTGAACCCTAAAACCGAAACCCTAAACCCTAAACCCTCCTCATTATGACTATACCATGAAGGAGCCCAAAGCTCCATTCTAACTATGAAGGCCGCTACAGTAGCCCGGCCAGGCACGTGTATGGAACGCCAAGACCCTGCACGGATGGCACGAAATACCAGAAGCCCAAATCCGCAACCCTGTTCCCTTCAAGCCTTAAACGGTGTACCATGAGATAAAACTCGAAGGTCTACGCCCTCAGCCTTAAAGCCAGCAGCATACAGACGTATAGTCCCATCATACAGGAGGCTTTCATCAAACTCAACTCGTCCATGTTCGATCCTTTGGAGCAAAGGTGAACGCGCTCCGTGCTAATGGGACCAAATGCCCGGGAGGCCCTTGGGTTTCGGGAGGTGTGTTTGGGGTTTCAGCCCCGGACTTTAGGACAGATTTCGACACCGTCTGTGTGCGGGTTCGACTCTTGCACCGAAATCCTGAGCTTCAGACAAGTACGGAATCCTAAACATAGGTCTTAACTATCCGTATCTTGCGAACCCCGAAATTAGCAGCGTGTACCCCTGAACTCGAGAACCCTTAACCTTCAACTCGAAAACTTTCCGCCAAATAATGCAGACTCCTGATGAATCAACCCTTCTCCGTGAATCAAGAAATACAATTGGGATTCTTATGCTAGGGCCCTTACAAAGTAGCAGATTTATTGATTACGGGTCTGCACTGAAGCTTAAGCATATCCCCTAAAGTCAAACCCCATCAACCTCAAACCCTTCATTTCTTTAGACCCTCAGCCCTAAAACCTATAAAAACCAAAAGCCCTAACTCCATTTCCCTGAACCCTGAACCCTAAACC